GGCGGCTGGTATTTGTAAACATTTTGATTGATTTAGGTACCATTTTTTCGCAAGCTGCCTACATCGACATGAGTGTAGCCGTATCAATCTCGTATCGCTGTCCGCACAGTTGCATCTGGTGAGGTCTTATCTATACTCACCATTGAAATTTCGGAGCTCCTACTTTCGTTTGCTCCGCTTTCTCCTGGGCCATTCCGATATACTAACTTGCAGCCTTATCGAAACTCATTTGGCACCTTAGGCTGAATGGAGTCGCATTTACTCTATCGAACGAATTTACATACGTGGAAATCATTTGGACAAGGCAGCGTGTCTCTAACTACTGCAGCGCTACCCTATACACCGAATAAAGTACTAGAAATCGTCTTTAATGTCCTTCCTGCACATCTTTATGGTAAACTACAGGCGGGCTTAATGCCCTGAGTAAATGGAAGGATTCGACATTATAGTCATTCTAAAACATTGGACATTTGCAAACTTGATGTACCCGGAATACTCGATACCGATGTGGGCTTTTTACAATGGCTTCAACGCAAGGTCTCGTCTCGAGGAGGGACTGGGAGGAAGATTCATTCCTGAGAATAAGTAGTGTAAACTCACAAGAGTTGTCTCTAAACTGAGCATTCGACAACAGTACTTTTGCAGCGTATTTTAAGCGGAACTTACAGCTGTGAAATAGGCCGCGCGCTGGCTGATGAGTTCCTTCCTGATTCTGAAAGGCAGTAACTATATATATTTGCTCATAGCCAAGTCGCAATTAGATTTCTAGAAAGCTCTGCAATGTCGTCAAAAATTGTTATGGAATTCCCCCAACGAACTGGAAACTACTACAAAATACTAAACGAAAGTCAGACGGAGAGTCATTGCTTATCGACCGTAAATTTGTATCTTAGCGGAGATATACCGCGACATCGCTTAAGGCAAAATTCGTCGACGCTCGATAACAGAACCCAAGCTCTCTTACTGTGGAAGTGCTTCCTACTGTGATTAGTTAAACGAATCCTTATACATCGTATGCCTGGTGAATGGGAGAACCGGGCAAATGGGTACTGTCGCATCTGCCTGACGCTGAAGATATCGAGAGCATCGAACACTTGCCACTACCCGGCTGTGAGTAGACGGAAGTGGTGGCGTCTCCATCAGTGCGTTTTCGACTGTCTCCTAAGCTACATAATACAAACTAACTAGTTCTATATTTAGGCAAAATAACCATTGAGCCAAGGTATGCACTGCTAGCTTTTTATTGCCTAGGTTTTCTACCATCCGAGATCTGCATGAAAGCAGGCAATCCAATCTAATTTATCATCTAAAAAAAGCAATTCCAGTTCAATATTTAGAGGCTTTTAAGTTTATCTGAAATTGGTGGTGTCTCTCTTTGAGAAAAACTGATATAGTTTTTAGCGCGATTTGTACGGATATCACAGATATCTTAATTTTTCAGAAATTGTTCCTTCTGTATGTTAGCTGCTCAGCGTACTAGTAGACACTCTCCCTAAGAAGCACTCATTAAGAAAACTTCAGCGATTTGCAGTCATAAAACTGACAATATTATTGACTTATTACCCATAATCGTTTGGCAAGCAATATTTAAAACCATTTAATTGCCTATTATTGGGCGCGCACTGCAACCGCAAAGTGCGGCATTAGGCACATAAAAATGAACTGGCACTAAATGGACGATAGTCATCGAAATAAATCGTTCAAAGCGGAAATTCTTAACACGAAAAAAATGAAGTAATAAAGTGGCCAACAACTACATAGGCGGAGAGGAATTAGTGACGCCAACTTCAACTTCAACTCGGAAAAAAATGCTTTATTAATGGCAAATTAAAAGTAATAAAAAACAGATGTGCTTAACGTGGCACATTTTACACGTTCGAAGCCTTGCAAAGCGGCGCGCATTCAGTCAAGCGGATTTCTTAAATTCGTATAATGAAGCACACCACCTTGGTTGCATACTTTTTGGCGTTGCACACGCTTATTTCGTTATTTCAGACATTTTTTTTTAGAGGTATGAAATTATAATAATGGCTTTTTTGGTAGCAGCTTAGCGCTGGGGCGCAGGTAACGTCGGCTCGCCTGCTGGAGCGTCGCAATATAAAGATACATAGATACAGTGATTTTGTGGCAGCCGGAAGAGTCACAAGCGACATACAAGTTGGCATAAGCAGCAGCAGCAGTCACTGGGTGGGGGTGTCTGTAGGTGTATAGCGCAGCCGATGGCAGAAAGTTCGCTTTTTCGAAAGTTTTGCATTGCACAAAATGTTGCGCTTAATGCAGTTTATCATTTACTTTTCAGTTTAACGTTTTTTCTTTCTTTTTGGTTTTGTCGCTCAAATACAACTTTGCGCTTACAGCTGGATTTCTTGTCGCTCAGCACCGCTCTTACCCACAACCCCTTGTAGCTAACTCGTAGCCGCCTTTGGTGCGAGTCTAAAAGGTAATTTTAATTTTAAGCTTGAGTTATGACAATATTTACTTTTTTCTTCGCGTTGATGCCACATGTTTGGTGCGACCTTTAATGGCATTTTAATATGCGGCATTCCTTACTTACTTGCTATGCGTCACATTAATTGCTGTCACGCATTTGCATTACAAATTTGTTTGCACTTATAATTTAATTCTGTTTTGATTCTTGCTTTACTTCTTTCGCATGCGAGTACGTAAGTGGGTTTGTATTTTCTTTTTACTTTGAGTTTTGCAGTGACTTACCGACAGGTGATTTTCTCCTTGCCTTCCATGAAGAGTCCATCTTTGCCCCAGCGTCGCGGCAATTCGAGCACAGTGACACCTCTGGCGCCGGCCAATGCGATGAGTGAGCCTTCGGTGGAGGCCAAGACACGTTCCACTTGAAAACTTTGCGGCACCGATGGAACGAGATTCTGGAACGAGGGAAGGGAAAGCGGTTTTTATTAAAAAGTATACAAATGTTAAAAGAAGTATAACAAAAATGCGTTCATAAGCAGTGTACCTTAAATCCAGTGATCGAGCCCACATAGTATGAATTTCATAATAAAAAGGAAAAACTTTAGTAACACCTTTTAGAATTTTTTGGCATTTTTAAAAGCAAAGTTAACAGGGCAATTCACTTAACTAGCTTTCAACTCACTACAGTCTTTCGAAAGACAAAAGTGTGACAATAGTCAATTCTGGCAACTATCTTGAAAGGTCTTTACTGTCTTTCGAAAGACTAATTGAAAGATATTCTAGCGAGGAGGTCTTAGCTTTACGCTATTGGTCTTTTAGCAATAGTTAAAAAAAAAATTATACTTTTTTGTCAATGTTACTGTGGCTTATTAACATTTTTGTTTTTAATATTTTTATTAAGCTTTGTACCACGATTGTTTATTAGGAAAAACTGAAAAAGCAACAAAGTCTAAGCGGTAGAAGTTATAGCAGCTATTTCGGAGATCACCACATCCCTTCATCACTTCTTTTTTCTATACTTCAGCAGGGATCGAACCTGCTGGTGATCTCCGAAATAGCTGCTATAACTTCTACCGCTTAGACTTTGTTGCTTTTTCAATTTTTCCTAATAAACAATCGGGGTACAAAGCTCAATAAAAATATTAAAAATATATTTTTTTCTTTTTGAAACAATAAGAAATAATAAATAAAAGAAAACTAAATAAAAAAAATTAAATGCAAATAAAGTAAAAATAAAAATGTTTTAAAGAATTAAATGTACAAGTGTTTTTCATTTTAAAACAATAAAATCTAGAAATGAAATTAGAAAGAGAAGAAAAAATACATCAAAAAAGAACATAAAAATTAAATAAAATTAAAAATAAAATGTATTTATTTTTAAAACTAAATCTAAAAATTAAAAGAAAATATAATTAAACAAGAAAAAATTAAAAATTAAATAAAAAACATATTTTTATTTTGAGAATATTAAAATCTAAAAATGAAAAGTACATTAAATTAACAAAGGAAAAACAAATTAAACTAAAAAAGAAGAAATAAGTTAACAAGTTTCTACAAATTAAATAAAATTAAAAAATATTTATATTTTTTTAAACATTAAAACCTAAAAACTAAAAATAGATTGAACCAAAAAATTAATTAGAAGAAGAAAGAAATCAGTTCTTAAAAATTAAATGAAATTAAAAAATATATGTTTTTCATTTTAAAACAATAAAATCTATTAAAAAAAGTGAATTAAAAAAAGAACAAAAATCCGCTGCACGAGGACTCGAACTCGGATCTCTCGAATGGCACGCCTGTCGCTTGTTTACTCGACCTTTGGAGCGATGCGAGCTAAATGATATACAAGTGGTTTCTCTCCAAATAACTTTCCACCACCAGTGGTGAATGAGAGAACTTTTTTCTAAGACTTTCGAACTAATTTGTGATCTGTATTTCATTTGTCTTAAGACGAATTTTTTACCATTTTAGCCAGAAATGACCTGCAAGATATCGTGGAACAGTTAAGCTGCCAGAAAACCAAGAAAGGTCCGAAATGTAGCCCGAAAATTTCCGAAAGTGAAAAATCTGAAGGAAATACGGAAAATATTCTAAAGAGCCCATATACCTTTTCGAAAAAAATATTTGTTTTTATTATTTCCCTTCGTTTTTTTTAATTACATTAATCGACTTCGTCGCGCCTCAACTCGGCGACAATAATACAAAAATCTGACCTTTCTCAGGACTATGGTTATGAAAGTCCATAACTTGGCTGAGCTTCACATCAAAAGCCAACCAGAGTTATCTACCATAGAAAATTGTCTTTCTCAGGTTAAGAATTTTATAGCCCCCATTTCTCTTGCCAGGCTTTTTTATAGCCGATCCCTTCTCTCTCTGGTACAAACACCGCTCAAATACCCCAGAGGGAATAGGGGCTGGAATCTTCGGACCCAGGACCGGGATCTCTGTGCCTTTAGGGAATTTACCGAGCATATTTCAAGCGGAAGTTTACGCCATTTATTTGTTGGCTGCGCCTATCATAAAATAGAGGGTGCCGTCAATAGAGAATTATAGTTCTAAGTGACAGTCAGACGACACCCAAGGCTCTTTTACGTTATGAAATCTTCTTTGGTCCTCAAGTGCATTGAGTAGCTCAACTACCTTGGCAGGCACAACATGTCTCCTTTAGTACACTGTAGACTAAGACTACGTCTATATAAGCTGGCGATATGGTCAAATGACCTTTGCCGGTTTTACGACTCTACCAGCGAGACACCACTCCACATTCTCATGGAGTGTGATGCACTCTGTAGAAGACGTGAGAGAAGTCGGGGCTCAATATGGCCACAGCTTATGCACATTCTTATGACGTTACATGCATATGCGGCACTGGACGGGTGGCCAAAAGCAAAGCAAGTGCGGGTGCTTGGAGCTACGCGTACCTCTACCTCTACCCTTGATGTGATTACAGGCATTCCTCCTCTGTCTATTCTGATTGAAAAGGCCTGCTGGAACGACCTACGGCTGCCCAATGTAATCAGAATCGGGATCTTCGGGGTATCAAGTTCGCAGATATTACGCTACCGAAATTATCCTCTGGCATACCCTTGAATCGAAGCTAGACGACGGCAGTACTGGGACGGGAGTACTTGGATGAAGATAACAGAAAAAGTCTGCCAATGGGCTCATAGCCAACCGTATTCCACGCGGAAGTATTCGCAATCAAAGTCTGCGTTCGAGAATGTCTTTGGAGAAGGACAAACGGGGCTACAATAAATATTATGTCGGATAGTGAGGCAGCACTAAGGGCCTTAGACTCATTTAGAACGACATCAAGGCCTGTGGGCAATTGTAAAACTCTTTTAAACAGCCTGGGGTGGTAATAGGGTGACGCTGTGGAGAGTCCTTGGCCATGAAGAGGAGCCCAAATGCGCATGCATGGTCCCGAGCCTTTCTGCGGCACATCTAAAGGATACATTGCAGAGCTGATTAGGAGTTGGGAAGAATCTCAGATTGCTGCTCACTAGCGAAACTCAAAGGGAATGTGGCAATGAAAGAAATTCATAGCTCCTTCCAAGAGGAATTCCGAAAAATTCCTGGAACTTAAGACAGGAGGGTATTAGGACTCTTACAGGCTACCTAACAGGACGCTGCAAGTTAAGGTGTATTTTGAACAAAATGGGGCTTTTTGTAGAGACAGACTACAGGTTTTTTGGCTGGTGGAGGAAACCTCAGAGCATATTCTTTGCGACTGCTCACGTATCATGAAACGTGGACTGATACACCTTGGGGAACGATTATCTTCTAGCTTCCATGCTTCCCCAATTGCACTCCCGTAATTCGTGGATGAATGATATGTCCCACATCGAAAAGTATCCCGCCCAAGCTCCTTGGCCACGTAATACTGCAACCAAATGCATAGTCGAAGTTAACCCAGTACAACAGCCCACAATATGAGGCATAAGGAACAGTAACTTCCTACTCTTAAAAAATTTTTCTCCACTCATTTCTTTTGCAATTTAATCCAACAATTTATCTTCAACTGGAATAGGCATAGCAATAAAAGTTCTGGTTAAATATTAACAGATAAGCAAAAGTCTATAAAATGCAAATTTACACACTCCCACCTAATGCCGAAAAGAGTTTTGAGATTATTTCAAAGCAAAACAAGAAAAATGAAAGTAGTATTATTACGTAACATGCATGTTATTGTTTGATTACCCGACTTTCGTCTTTGCACATATTTACACATGCTTACAAGAAAACAAAGAAAAGAAAAAAGTTAATGAAATCCGCAAGTATGGACTGCCTAATGAACTTACGCAGATAAATTTTCTTTTACGTGATTTCACAAATTAACGACTCAACAAGCAACTCTAGAAAATGCACACAGCTAAGCTCAAACCATTGACTGCTCAAAAGCTATTCAAAATCCTTGTAAGATATGCCGCTTTTTTATTACAAACGGCAGTGGCACACACACGCGCTCTTTTGGAGAGTAGAAGAGTTGTAAACATTAAGTAGTAAAATGTGTAGTCCACATCATTACAAGACGACCAACACCACCAACAGTAGCACTTACACGTACACTCACCCACGCATAAACAATAAATTTTTAAGACAATGGAAAAATACAAAAGAAATTCTTGTAGGCATACTTCTTTTTGGTTTTTGTTTGTCTTATAGGCAGACATTCTCCTTGCCGTCCCCACACGCCCACAATGGGTTAAATGCAAAGAATTTCGACTTTTTCGTGGACGAGTTGTAGTAGAATGAGAGTCATCGATCCAAAGGATAGGCAAAGCGCAACTTTTCGGGCGGTTAGTGAGTCTCAGGCCAACTGATGCGAGTATATGAAGCATAAAATGCATGGAATTGTGTAAACATACCCACACACACACACATGCCTGTAAGCAGTGTTGCCAGATTCATAGTTTTAAATGTAAATTATAGTTTTTCAGACAAGCTTACAGGTTGTTCAATTGCCTCCTAGTATAAATTACAACTTTTTTCGAAATTTCCGATTTAAACGGACCAGTTGAAATTTAGATTTAGAAGGAGGTTATCAATTCGTCGGAACATATTTTTTTATGTATGTACTATGTTACCGCATAACTTTGGACAACGTTAACCCCGATTTCTATAATACTTTTTTTAAAGGTAAGGTGGTACCTCAGAGGTTGTTCCATACTAATGGATATTTCTCTACCCTGCTACTACTTTTGCATTACTTCCAGATTGGGATGGACCCTACTTAATTTCAACTCTCTCTGCATCTAGGGCCGCCAGGTTTGAAGCCAGCGTCAAGGTTTTGGCTCGTATTCTCTTCCTAACGCTTCATATAGTGTAAGCTTATAGTTTCCAGATTGTGTTTTTTATACGCAATATTAATTCTACCATCATCGCTACAGTTTGCCAATTCTTATCTCCTTGAAGCATGATATTTAGTATTTATGTTTTCGGTGCTTACCTGACT